CCACATTCCTTTCTCTTCCCTCAAGAGCATGCCAGAATAAGATATTTTTGATTTGTAAACGTTGCCTAGCTGCAAGAATTTGGTTCATACTTTGCTTATTTTGGCTTGCAGTTGAGCCTTTGCCAGCTCGTACTTCTGTCTATTCATCCACATCTACTGTATCAAATCAATGCGAGAGTGAGCGTGGCCCAGTTTGCATCTTCCATAAAAGTTGAGTTTCGTGTGGAATCACAAACATTTTTATGCCTGAATTTACAGCCACTTTTTAGTTCAGCTCAGCCTTTAGCATGGTTTTCTGCAACTGAATAGGTTATCGTATATATCTATCCTTCGTAGAGGTTTAATTTTGTAAGGAATCATTTTAGTCTCTATATTCCAAGTCATTATTCGATTCAGTTAGCCTTTCTCACAGTCTTGAGACACTAAATAGGTCATTGATAATATATCCTATAAAAGTAAAGTAAAAGTATAAAGTATCATTCGGCATGCTCCACTCATCTATCATACTTAAGATGAACCTCACTATCATACTTAAGTATGCTAGCTCCATCAATGCTTCTAACTGCGCACTGAATTATAAAAAAACTCGTCTTTGATTTCAATTTGAGCTCTCGCAACTCTCGCAACTGCTCGAGCATCATATTCTATACAAGATGAAGCGAAGAGTCAATTCAATGTTTCATGCACTTGAGCTGCTGTTACCTCTGACTACTGCTCTAAGCTTGGCATGCTTCGTGCTCTGTGCTCACTGCAATGCAAATGGCCATAGTTCATGGCTCTTCAGCAGCTTCTAGAGTTTTTTAAATCGATTATAGCTAACGGCTATTCATGTTGCATGTTTCAGCAGTGGCTGTTGTTGTTGTTGTAATAAGCGCAGTTATTGTCAGTTTAGCAATTGTTTCATCAAGCAACTCAGAGAGAGAGAGAGAGAGAGAGAGAGAGGGAGAGAGAGAGAAAGGGAGAGAAAGAGTGAAAAATCAACAACTTTTGTGCAAATTCATAAATTTAATTTAAATGTAAATTAATTTTTCGCACATGCCGCAGCAGCTGCAACTGCAGCTGCAGCTGTGTGTGTGTGTGTGTGGCGCGTGTGTGTGTGGCATTGTAAAGTTTTATAAGCTGACTTATCTAACTATATTTCATAAGTCTGTTCGTTTGTGGCTACATCTTATATAGCTACGCACCTTTTGGGGGCGTCCTTCGTCCTGCGTCCTGCGTCCTGCGTCCTTCGCTCTGAAAAGTTTCGTTGGCAACGCTTTTTTGGCATTGAAAGTGCAGCAAACGTTTCCGTTTTTAGAACTTTGCCATATCCGGCATTTGCTTACAATTCAAATTGGCTTCGCCAGCCGAACGAACGAACGGGACAGACGCCGACTGGGCCACAGACGAGTCAGACGGACAGAGGGAGAGAGAGAGAGAGAGAGAGAGAGAGAGAGAGGGAGACAGACAGAGGGACAGCTGGACTGAGTGACTGTAAGATGGCATATTTCTTGGTGCTCGGCTAAGTTTTTGCCAGCTGCAAAGTTTTTGCAACTTCAGGTGTAATGTGCGGAAATGCTCACATTTTGTGCTGCGGCTCGCTTTATTCACTCTCTGGTGCCCCGCTCCCTGTGCAACACTGCGTATACGTACTTTAAAGTAAATATTTATACAGAGACTTGACTTTTAGACAGCTGTCTTTCTCTCTCTCCCTCTATCTATCTCTTTCTATCTGTCTTTGTGTTTCTCCCTCTGCATATGCAAATTTGCTTAGACTGGCAAATCAATATGGCCCAGCACAAGTGTCACTTTTTGCACCGTTGCTGCACTGGTTTATATAATTTGATTGTATGCACACATATACACACACAGAGACACACATACACGCACAGTCATGTGCACTTCCTACTGGCATGTGAAAAAAGCTTGTTTTAGGTTTTTAGTTGTGCATGAAGCCAACAAGAAATGCATCAACTTGACTCCATTGTTTGCCAGCTGACAATGCAAAAATTGTGTTTCTAAGAAGCTACACATATACATGTATATATGTATATTTATATAGATTACATATATCCGCATGTATGTATATATTTGCTACACATTTCTTATCTAACCTGTGCCTGGCACTCGAAACTGTTTCACTTTTGTAAATAACAACAATTAAAGTTTTTAGTGCTTTGTTTAATTTAATTGAAAAAGTTATCAAACCTTTTTCCACTCCAGCTGCCAGCACATCGCATTGCATCGCATTGCATTCGAGCAGTTGCGTTTGAGCAGAGATAAAAATTTATAATTAATTCAAGTATTTGTTACATTTGCTCACATAGGCAAATAAATTGTAATTCAAGAGGCAATTTAATTTGTTCTAAATTTGCATACCCTGCAAGCGGAGTAGAGCGTGTGTGGGGCATGATAGTTTGTCTCAACTGTAGTAGGTCGATCAGATGACAGACATTTCTCTTGTAAGTGTTGTGGGCTGACATAATGTCGAAGTTCTTATATATATAGATGAATGTCTAAGATCATATATAATATTTACACTCCCTTTTCTTTTAGTCTACATAAATATCCATAAAAATAAGCCTTAGCTCTCACTCACTCAATAAAACTCTTATGGAGCAAGCCAAGTGTAGGGTAACTGCTCGTCGATCACACGCTCTCTCTATCAAAATTAAATTCACCTCTCATTTGCACCATTTCAAAAGGCATACCAAGCTACCGTTCTACGAGTTAAGTGAAGCATGTGGCCAATAATGAAAAGCACTTGAGTGGAGCATCGATTGTGCATTTCGACTTCACAAACATGTTATGAAATCTCATGCAACCTTGAGTGAATTAAATCAAAAGCTTAATCTAATAATAACATATACAGAGATACTATTCAAATCATAAAGATGAACAGAAATGACTAGCTCAAGCCAATGTAGGTGCTTCAGCATAATGTTGTGTTGAAAACAAAAGGAATTTGAAGTATTTTGTCATCAAAAATAATTAAAAAAAAAAAAAAAATGAAAAACATTGAAATATTTTAACTTTAAGTGACACTTCTCTAATGCCCTTCCTCTATTTACCTCTATTTACCTAATAACTCTCTAATTTCCAGTTGCACTCCCACGACTAAATTCTCTTGACTGCTGACCCTGTTTAATAATATATATATGAAACTACTCCCAATACTCCCATTTGGCTTCTCTTTTATCTGTCACTTTTAGACCCTTTAGCAAAACCAATACACCCCTTTTCACCGTCTCATATGGCATATATGTAAACATATTTACCTCTTTTTTTTTTTTTTGGCAAGTGTCGTACAAAGTGCGCGCACGATAAACTCCATTTGTTAAATATAGTTGACGATTTATGGCAGTTCATAAAAAATCTTAACGACTTTAATATGTATAAATTTATCTGTCTATATACGAGTACGAGTATTTGGGCCGTAATCTGTGCCATCGCTGCAGCTGGTTGTAAATCGAGCGCTGACATTCGTCTAATCAGCTCCTTAGTATGCTATGATTTGTGATTTGCTCCCCCTCACGCACAAACATCTACCCATCTCCCTCTCTCTCACACAATTGTCTCTCTCACATGGTCTGCCGACTTGGGCTGCCCCTGTGACGAATTGGCTTTAATCTGCGCTATCCGCTGATAGCCAGTTATTTGTTTATTGGCCAACTTATGTTGGGCGAAGACGAGCCAAGTCTACTTGGCGTTAAAAACGTCAACGGGCGACAGTTGATGGAGAGATAAGCTCGAAAAAGCACGTCAAACTAGTTTGCAGCTTTCGTTTTAATAAGGGGTAATTTCACGCCAAACTAGCCTAAGTTCCATAGTTGAAATATTTTTGCGAATGGCATACGTATAAGCAGTGTTGGTAAACAATGCAAGATGAATAAACAAAGTAGTAAACAAAGGGTGGAAGGAGAATAAAGTGTAGCAGGTAGATATAGAAAATAGAGAGTAGGGAATAGAAAAAAGGGAATAGATACTAGAGAATATAGAAAAGAGAATAGTGAATAGTGAATGATGAAAAGTGAATAGTGAATAGAAAAAAGATACTAGAGAATAGAGAATATAGAATAGATAATAGTGAATAGAGAATAAGGAATAGGGATAAAAGGATAGAGTATAGAAAATAGAGAATAGTAGAGCATCGATAAGAGAGAATAGAGTATATGAAATAGAAAATATAAAATAAAGAATAGATACCAAATACAAGAGAAAAAAGAATATAGATATAATCTATATAATCTATAATAGAGAATGGATAAAAGCAAAGAGAGATCAAGAATAGAGAATTTAATTGTTTTTACATTAGTGAAACTGCTTCTTCTCCATCGACTATTATATGCTTACCAACACTAGTTGTACGTAGCACAGCCTAAGAACAGCATTTCAAACCTCGTAAAACTGTTCTTAAAGTGCTGGCGAATGTAAATTATTAAACTTCATAATAGTTTCTATAATTATAAATAAAGCAAACTTTTTGAAAAGGTGGCAACGCTTAATTGTGAACTGTAAGGAAACTTTAAGTTTAAACCGTTGTATAACTTACAATATTAGTTGTCATATACAATTAAAATGAGAGAGAACGTAAAGACAGAGAGAGAGAACGTAAGGTTCTAGAACTTCTCAAAAAGGTGGCAACGCTCAACTTGTAAGCAACACGCTTATTGAAGAGCGCGTTATTTATTAGCTTATTGACACGCTTTAAATTTGTAACTATCTAATTAGCTATCTGTGCGAATAAGCGAGCAGCGAAACAAAAACTGAAATCGAAAAGTCGATCATAAATCTGAGGTGTTGTTTATCGATCGGGCAGGTAGCACTTGGGCCCGCCGCTCGAATCTAATCAACGTCAGACCCCATAGGTAGGGGCCCATAGGTGGGCTGTTCGCGAAACTTATTGACACACGTCGAGTGTGAAGATAAGTGAAGAATTTGCATCACAAATCAATCGAGTCTCACGAACTATCAATGAATGTTTTCAGGCGATCCGTATAAAAGGCCGTGGTGGGTCCCCAGAGAGCTCAGTGTGGATATTGGATTCCATTGAACTACAAAGATGTTTCTGAGCAAAGCACTGCTGGCCGTTGCCTTCCTGGCGCTGGTCAATGCGCAGTACTGGCACAACTACAAGAGCGGCCGGAATGGCATGGTCCACCTGTTCGAGTGGAAGTGGGATGACATAGCGGCCGAGTGTGAGAACTTCCTGGGACCCTACGGCTTCGGTGGCGTGCAGGTGAGGCGGAGAACCGACTGATGCATTTCACTCAAAGCAACAGGTGGCTAAACAGATGTGTCTCTCTCTTTTCCTCTCCCTCTCCCTCTCCCTGTGTTGTCTTTGGCTAGGTCTCGCCCGTCAATGAGAACGCTGTGATTGGCTCGCGCCCCTGGTGGGAGCGCTATCAGCCCATCTCCTACAAGCTGAGCACCCGCTCCGGCAACGAGCAGCAGTTCGCCAGCATGGTCCGGCGCTGCAACGATGCCGGCGTGCGCATCTACGTGGATGTTGTGTTCAACCACATGGCTGCCAATGGCGGCACCTCGGGCACTGGCGGCAGCACGGCCGATCCCGGCTCGAAGAGCTTCCCGGGCGTGCCCTTCTCCTCGCTGGACTTCAATCCGACCTGTGCGATCACCAACTACGCCGATCCCACCAATGTGCGCAACTGCGAGCTGGTTGGCCTGCGCGACTTGAACCAGGGCAACTCCTATGTGCGCGACAGGATCGTGGACTTCCTCAACCATTTGACGGATCTGGGCGTTGCCGGCTTCCGTGTGGACGCCGCCAAGCACATGTGGCCCGGAGATCTGCAGGCCATCTACAGCCGCCTGAACAACCTGAATACTGCGCACGGCTTCAGCTCGGGCGCCAGGCCCTACATCTTCCAGGAGGTGATTGACTTGGGCAACGAGGCCATCTCCAAGTCGGAGTACACCGGCCTGGGCGCCGTCACCGAGTTCCGTCACTCGGACTCCATTGGCAAGGTGTTCCGCGGCAAGGATCAGCTGCGCTACCTGAACAACTGGGGCACCGCCTGGGGCTTTGCCGACTCCGATGCCTCGCTTGTGTTTGTGGACAATCACGACAACCAGCGTGGCCATGGCGCCGGTGGCGCCGATGTGCTCACCTACAAGGTGCCCAAGCAGTACAAGATGGCCTCCGCCTTCATGCTGGCCCATCCGTTCGGCACGCCCCGCGTGATGTCCTCCTTTGCCTTCGACAACACCGACCAGGGCCCCCCGACCACCGATGGCCACAACATCGCCTCGCCCATCTTCAACAGCGACATGTCCTGCGGCGGCGGCTGGGTGTGCGAGCACCGCTGGCGCCAGATCTACAACATGGTTGGCTTCCGCAACGCCGTCGGCGACGCCCGCCTCCAGAACTGGTGGGACAATGGCAGCAACCAGATCGCCTTCAGCCGCGGCAGCCAGGGCTTCGTGGCCTTCAACAATGACAACTACGATCTGAACAGCTCCCTGCAGACCGGCCTGCCCGCTGGCACCTACTGCGACGTCATCTCCGGCTTGAAGAGCGGCTCCAGCTGCACCGGCAAGACCATCCAGGTGGGCTCCGATGGACGCGCCAACATCTACATCGGCACGTCGGAGGAGGATGGCGTCGTGGCCATCCACGTCAATGCCAAGTTGTAGGCCACCAGAGCATCTCCCCCCCCCCAGCCTTTACCCTCTGCGCAATGTGATCATATTTTGCGGATATATATATATTTATATATACATATATATTTTATATAGCCGAACATAAAGCAACACGATTTTCAATTTACTCGCTCTCAAGTGATTTTTCTCAATTTTTCCATCGAGTGGCTCAAGTCTTTCGCTAGCCCCAAACATCTTAACATAATTAAAAGCACAACAAGCAGAGGACCAAGTGTGGAAGGTCTTTGCAAAAATCACAGTGATCGACTATTAGATATGCTGTAAATGTGCGGTATATCGTTTGGTAAGTCTGGCTTTTATTTATTGTTGATAAATATTACACACTAGATTTTGGACTTTATATAAACAATATTCAAGGAAATACTTTTTGTTGTTTAAAAATGAGAAATGTAAATTGTTTTAATATCCGCCTAAGAATTGGAAATGTGTGTGCAAATTCTGAGTTTAAAGAAGATTGCTTCATGGGAATTCTCTGTATTTATACATAACGAGCAATAGATAAGGCAAACATTGTCTACAGCTAATATACTCTCTTTTCTCTATGATAAAGGGGTATAAATACTATACTATATAAATATAAATATAGATACTAGACTTCAAGTTGACATACTACTTACTGAACTATCGACAATGGTATTTTTAATGCTTACCAGATAGAAATAGAAATGTTTACCAACACTGATTCTCTAAGATTTTGATAACTGAGCCTGCATAGAGGGCTAGCTTGAAGGAATCAATGTTTTAAGCGTTTCTTGAACGAATTACTCTGATGTGATGAAATCGGTGTGTGCAGTGTTTTCTCCGTTGACCAACACTAGCTCATTTTCTTTGAGGATACTACATTGTAGATTCAATTAAATTGCTAATGATATATGTACATGCCTTATTGTCGTTGCCTACATACCTAGCTAGCACTTCTTATTCTCAGCTCTAGTAATGCCTAAGCTGCGTTTACCAACACTAGCTTGCTAGGCAATCAGCTGCTCAACTGCCACACTTCATCCACACACTAGTCTCAATACCCAATCCAGCTGCTGTTCAGCTAAACTCATTTATATCCCAGCACAGCTCTATCTGTCCATCAGACCCGCTCTCAGGCACTCACAAAGGGTGTATAAAAACTAATTAAATGGCACAATACACAGCGCTAGATGGGTTGGCCGCTGATAAAAGTCCATTACGCAGCTGACAAACGCAGGTGTCAGTGGCGCGGCGAAAGGTCAAAGGCCAAGCTGCTGTAAAATCTATGGGATTGAGCCAATTCAGGGATAAAAGAAAGTATAGAGAAAGTAGAAGAAGCACCAGCAATGAGCAGGAGCTGTAAGCAGGAGCTGTGAGCAGGAGCTGTGAGCAGCACTCGTCGTCAGTCGTGTGCTCTAATGCTGATTTACGCAATGAGTGGCCATAAAAATATGCCAAACATAAATACAAACCATTATCCGGGACAACTTACATGCCAAACATATCGCACGACATTATCATTTGTCAGCATACGGGCACTCACTCTCTCTCTCTCTCACTCCAGCTGACTCTTTCTAATGCAATTGCAGTTGGCCCCTCAGCTCTGGCTAGACATGCACAATGAGAAGCAGACGCAGTTGTTATTTGTTGCAAAATTTTGTTAGGGTAGAAGGCCATAGCTTGCATTTAAATCTATAGAGCAAATAGTGCAAGTACATTGCAGCAGGAGTCGGAACAGGAGTCGGAGCAGCAGCAGCAGCAACCGGAGCAGGAGCATCTGGCATACAGGAGTGCTCGTTGCACAATTTTGTTGCATAAAAATATGCACTCATAACTTGTGTCCATGGCTTGGCTGTGATATGAATGAATGTGTGTGAGCTCTATCAAAGGATTTTCATGTCATTTGCTAGAGGTCAAGTGAGTCACAGGCAGCTAGCAGCTAGCAGGAGCCTGCAGCCAGCAGGATACCGTCAGGACTTTGGGGTAATGTATGCACACAGTCAACAGGGCATGCAGCTACACTCCCATCTCGCCCCTCTCTCTCACTCTTTATCCATGTGTTGAGTTTCCTGCTGCTGCTGCTCTAACTTCCTGTGCGTTGTGTATTGTAAATATATACAAAACAGCGCATAATTCTTAATAAAGTCATAAAATTGCAAAGTAAATCAGTTTTTTTTTTGCAGCGCAGATAAACTCGTCTTTTTTATTACGCAAAACGCAATTTTCATATGCTGCTTCGGCAAAGATTGTGATTTAGCGACTGTGTGTGCGTGTGCGTGTGTGTGTGTGCCAAATCCATCTGCATAAAGCGACAGCAGAGGAGGAGGAGGAAGAAGAAGAAGAAAATCACAAGTCGCATCAAACATTGTGTATAAAAGCCGTAGCATGTCTAGAGATTGCGGTTGCTTTTCTTATAGCGCCAACATTTTTTGCCCCAAGCAGGAGCCAAACTTCAAGCCACAAACACACACACATACACACACACACGCATATAGACGCAGGCATATATAAAGGCAAAAAAAAAAAATTGAAATAAAATTAATTTAAAATTTGCTGACAAAGGAGACAGACAGCGCAAGAGGTAGAGTGGGGGGAGGGAGAGAGTGAGAGGCGCCTCGCCTCGCCTCGTATTTATGCAAAAATATCAAAATATCAAAATATGATGTGAGTTACTTGCTTGTTGCGGCTGTTGTCGTCGTCGCTGTCGCTGTCGTTGCCGTTGTTGTCGTCCATTGTCAGCCATTGCAAATGGCGCACGTGCAAAAAGGTCCTTAAGCGCCATCCTTGGCGCCTTTAATGCGCGCTTCATTTGAGTGCGCCTGGGCGTCGCGTTGACTGTTCGAAAATAGCCAAAACGTGCTTATATTGAATATTTACTATTCGCAATTTAAGCGCTTTAAGGTGAATGCTTTGACATAAGTACCTTATGCGATACCCTGTAAACCACTGAGTGTGCGAAGAGGGTCGAGTGGTGCGAAAATACCAGCACGAGAAAGTAAAGCAAGGAGAAGCCTTTTGCAATGCAAAGGAAAATAATAATCGCCTCACTATTTTTTTAATAACATTTCTTAGGGCCAACAAAAAAATGTTGATTAATTTTCAAAGATTAAAAACATGTATTTAATTAATTTATTTTTTGTTTTGCCATTAACAGAAAATAAATAAATAAAACAATTTTTTTTGTTACCTATTAATAGACAATAAATAAATAAAATAATTTTTTTTTAACCTATTAAAATTAATCAAAAGTTTATTTGTTGGCCCTAAAAAATTTTATTCATTTATTTTAGTTCTGAAAATTTTAACAACATTTAAAAAATTTTTGAAATTGTTAACTTATTTTTCCAAATTTTTAATACTTTTTTCCATACAACAAATATTTAAAAAATGTATTTAAATTTTTATATCGATCTTAGCAGTTGCTTTTATATTTTTCTTATTCGTCTAAACATTACATTTATGATCATATAAAGCCATAGTATGTGTATAATATTTAATCAAATTTCTACTATTATTTTATATAATAAATACTAAATACCAGCTAAATACCATGTTCACTTCCGCCTTGCGAACCAACTCAGCTCAAGCCCTACGTATATCCATTAAAAACTCTTTTGATAAACTTCGCCTTTTTCATTGAATTGCCTGCCCAACTCTAATTGTTAATCAGCCTGCCACGCCCATTGACGCCCATCATTTTTTTGCCTTGTCAATCAATAAGTGTATGGTATGCACGCAGTCGTTCGCCTTTGACTGCAAGAATTCAACTTGTATTTACTTTTTATGTTTTTTCATTTCATTTTCTTCAATCCAAATTCCTAAGAACTGTCTGTCAGCTGTGTCTGTGTGTGTGTGTGTATTGGTGTGTGCATATGCGCTCGCTCCGCACATGCTTTCAATTTGACGTCAGTTGGATAACATTGCTACCCTTTGCTGGTAAACATGTCCTGACAGCCTGTCAAACAACTTTCAAAGCTGACTTTTAAATATTAATGCCCCGTTGGACGTTGGTAATGCGGTCGCTGCCATTGGCGAAAACCTCGGTATATTTCTTATTAGTGATGGCTGAGGGCGCTCAGCGAAAGGCGGCAAAAGGGGCGAACGATGATATGGACAGGGCAAAAGTTTGCCACAAAAATGGAATCCTGCAAAGGAGCTAGTTAGCCTTGAAGTGTTGGCAATTCTCAAATAAATAGAAAAATAGTTGGCGATGTAAGAATGGATGTGTAATAACTGGGAAATTTATAGAGTAGTAGTTGGAAGGAGTTGCATGTGATTAGAGGCGGGAGGATCTGCTGTTAGAGAAACTAAGGTTAGAGATAAAGTAATTAGAATTAGTTGGTAAATGTGTGAAAATATGTAAGATTTATACAAACTGAAGTTGCGAGAGGATTAAGAAATTAATTTCCAAAGATAAAGCGAAGAAAATATATGAGCTAAAATGAATTAAAAGTCGAGAAATTCTTAACTTAAGTGACTGTTTCAAATAAAATTTTTCAGATTTTTTTTTTTAAGTATACTTAAAATTTAGAATATTTTATAATTCTACTTAGACGAATAGAATATTATAAATCATCGTTAAGAGAGTAGAATCAGAATCAGTCATAGATGACTGAAAAAACTTAAGGAAAGTCTGAGTCTATGGAATATCCCTAGTCAAAGTTATGAAATAATTATGAAAGCTTTTTACTCAATTGTAATTCAATTTAATTTTTGCTGCTCAGAAGAGATAAGCAGATGATTAATAACGATCATCTCTTCACTTTTGACTTATTTTAATGTGAAAAGGGGATTGCTAAGAACCATTTACAAGTAAGCTTCAATCAACTACAATTAAAAATACCACACTTTTTGCCAAACACGTCATAAAAACTCACTTTGCATATTAGTTGCAGTCAATAATTGTGTTCCCGCATTCCCTCTCTGATTTGATGATGTTGATCAAATTTATTGTTTTTAATTGCTTTGTTGGTGGAGCGCAGATAATTGCCATCACAAGTTGCTTTGGCGCAGGGAAACA